GTGTTATTTCTAATATAATCGTTAGTTCTAGTGGTATATTAGTTCTAGTTGAGCTACTGTTAGTTCTAACAGTTCTCGTGTTAGTTCTAGTTGATGTCATGTTAGTTCTAATTTCTAGCTAGTGTTATTTCTAGTGGTATGTTAGTTCTAGTTGAGCTACTGTTAGTTCTAGTGGTTCTTGTGTTAGTTCTAGCTGATTTCATGTTAGTCCTACTTTCAGTTAGTGTTATTTCTAATATAAGTGTTAGTTCTAGTGGTATGTTAGTTCTAGTTGAGCCCATGTTAGTTTTAGTGATTATCGTGTTAGTTCTAGCTGATTTTATGTTAGTTTTAACTTCCAACTAGTATTATTTCTAATATAAGCGTTAGTTCTAGTGATATGTTAATTCTAGTTAAGCCCCTGTTAGTTCTAGTGGCTTTCTTGTTAGTTCTAGCTGATGTCGTGTTAGCTCTAAATTACAGCTAGTGCTATTTCTAATATAAGCATTAGTTTTAGTGGTATGTTAGTTCTAGTTGAGCTCCTGTTATTTCTAGCGATTCTCGTATTAGTTCTAGCTGATTTCATGTTAGTTCTATTTCGAGATAATGTTATTTCTAATATAAGCGTTAGTTCTAGTGAGTTAAGTTAAACCTAACATGAATTAGAATTAGAACTAACATGAAGTGGGTTAGAACCACTATAAAATGAGTTAGAACTAACAAAAGAGGCCCAAGGCCCAATCAAAGACCATTTTAAATATATATTGCAAGGTTTTGAACTCCTAACCTCCTCTCCAAATTCCCAAGCTTTACCACTAGACCAAGTAGCCAAAGTATTAATGTTAGTTCCACTTAAAGTTAGCTCTAACATGAATTAGAACTAACATGAAATAAGTTAGAACTAACATAAGTTATTGCTCATGATAGAGTTTAAAAAAGGACGGAAAATTTTCCTTCATTTTTTTTGTCAGATCACGGCAATTTTAGTTTTTTTTTTTCCAAAATACAATCTCTTTTTTTAGTACTGCTGACGTGGAAGGGCCTTGAAACATTAAATGCTATTTTTTTTAGTACTGCTAACGTGAAGGGGCCGGATCACATGGAGTTTTCGTTTTTGGGCCCGGGATACATTTTTCCCTTTAATTTTAATAAACGGGTTACATACTGAGCTGGCATCATTATGTTGGAGCTTGCTTTGTCTTTCACTTGTGATGATGGTGATCATCATGCTTTAAAAAAAGGAAAAAAAACATAAAGCTATGATAATTTTTATTCTATAGTCTATTTCGGTACAATCAAAAAAGACAGATAAAGTTGGGAATAAAATATTTATATAGGTCTAGTTATTTTTCCAAAAATAGTGGGTAACAGAATATATTATTTTAAACGGTGTGATAGCATTTAAATATGGGAGGCGCTACAGTCACACCACCACACTCCTCTCTCGCTACAGTGCTCACATGAGAATTTTAAAAAAATTCTCACATGAGAATTTTAAAAAATTCTCATGTGGGCCCCAGTGCACTGAAACGAGAGAGGAGTGTGATTGGAGGTGTTGTTAGGGGGTGTGCCTCTAATATTTTCCTTTAAATATACTAAAGACGAAAGGTCATCTTCTTTTCCCCCCTCATTTCCTTTTTAGTTTAAAGCATTGTGCTTATATTATCACAGGTGAGGTTGTGTTTATATATGGTAACTTTTTAGCTACGTGTACACTATTTCTTTTCCTAGCTTGTCGTATATTAAAGTATGTATAGAATAGTTCAATGTTATATTGAAAATATTGCATGATTCAGATCAGCAATCAGAATTTTTTGGAACATAATCAGCGATCAGAAATTATGATTGTTAATTAGATTGACAAGCTTTACAATAGTGAAATTCGGGTTCAGAATTTTGACAAATTTTTTTGAAATAATAAAAATTTCAAACAGTATGATTAGTTGTATTTTTTTTAAAATTTCTATGTATGAGGTCAAGAATATTTGATAGCTGGTTATAGTAATAATAATAATATCTAATACATACTTCTCTTTTAAGAAATGTTTGTTAACTTGCTATAGATTTTTTTCAAGCATTCGAATGCTCTCAATTATAGTAAAAGGCCATACAATTGCAGTAGCAACTTCACAAAGAGATCATTAAAAAAAAAGAGTTTTGCTATAGACACCCAAAATATGAGGCCAACATGAGAGACAAGTGAGGTGTCACCCTCCTATTGCGTAATGAGCTGGCTATCATTAGGCCATCATTAATGATGATCAGCTCATTATGCAATAGGAGAAGGACACCTTATATGTCCTCCTTATTGGTCCCATATTTTGAGTCCTTGAGTATTTTTTCTTAAAAAAATTATCACCCTCTCAGACACATTTCTTATAAAATATCATTTGTTTATTCACAAGCAAAACCCCATACCTTCCATCTGTCAACTAGTATTACTGTATGAGCTTTGCTACAGGGTCCCAAAATATGGGACCAATAATGATGGCCAACTCATTATCCAATAGGAGGGGGGCACCTTACTTGTCCTCCCTATTGGTCTCATATTTTGAGTTCTTAGGGAATTTTTCTTACTGTATTAGCATTATTTACGGCGCCAGAGGGAGCCACTCGCGACGGCGGCCAGCAGTGCTCCCTCTATTAATGAGAGTGTGCAGATATTTATGCGTGTACTCGTGAAGGACATTAGTAAAAGAGAGGATAGAAAAAAAAAACTAGAAAAAGAGAGAATCAAGCGATTTGAGCTACAAAAAGTACACCCACGTGCACGAATCAAACAAAGGTTGGGGCCCATTGCCGACAAATTCTTGCTGGCCCACGAATTTGTTGGGTTTGCTATTAATGCGTGTCAACGATGGCCCACTGGGTTTGTATGCACTAGTGTTTAGGGGTGAGCACGGTTCGGTTCAAACCGAAAAAACCGACCGAACCGACCCGAACCGACCCGAAAAAAACGGTTTTATGAGTAAGGCGGTTCGGGTCGGGTCGACAATTTTTCAAACCGACCCGACCCGAACCAACCGAATATATTCCCCTGCCTCAAACCCTACCCGTTTACCCAAAGACAAAGCAAGTCCGTTACTAAAAAATTACAACATCAGGTCTAGTATTTAATCCAAAAGAACAAGTTACTTTACTTAAAAACAGTATACATATATGAGCAAGAATAATAAATTGAAGTGAAGTTAAAAAATAAATACATGCTGGCATAGGGTAATAAGAATATATAAAAGATAAATTAAAGTGAAGTTATACTTGATGAAGTTAGAACCGAACAAACCGAACCGAACCGCACCGAACCGATTTGCAATGGATCGGTTCGGTTTTGAATTGTAGGTGGTTCGGTTCGGTTGTTCAAATTTTGGTAAAAACCGACCCGAACCGAACCGCGCTCACCCCTACTAGTGTTTCTCTGCGTGACCTTTATTTTTTGGGAGGATTTCTTGCCAATGGCGTACTAGGGAAAACATAAAGGGATGAAATTTAATGAATAAAAAAAAATTGCAAAATAGCATTTTGAAAGATAGTATGCACTTAAAATCCTATAAGGGCCTGTTTGTTTGCCCCAAAAAAAAGGAAATCAAAGAAATGGAAAACTATTAAATCAAAGAATTGTTTTGGGAGTGTTTGGTTTGCTAAAAAAAAGAAATCAAAGAAATATAGATGAGTTGTCATCTTATTATAGGATGATGTGAGTGATTTTTTAAGAAAACTTGTTTTAATGTTGTTTGGTTGGCGAAAAAAATAAGGAAATGAATTCTAAGAAACCAATTTCTTAAAAAAGTTTGTTTTTGTTTGGTTGGCGAAAAAAATAAGGAAATGAATTCTAAGAAACCAATTTCTTAAAAAAGTTTGTTTGGTTATTTCTTAAAAATAAGAAAATAGATAAAGTTTGTTTGGTTATTTCTTAAAAATAAGAAAATAGATGAGCTGAGATGAGTTGTCATTGTATTATTTGGTGATGTGATCCAAGATTAAGAAAAGTGTTTTCATAACTTTTTGGGATGAAAACAAAGAAATAAAATGTTAATGAGATGAGATGAGTTGTCACAATATTATTGGATGATGTGGGTGATTTTTAAATATGAGATGAGATGAGTTGAGTGATGTTGTTGATGAAAATAATATTTTATTAGATGTGGTGGATGTGATGGATGAGTTGTTGGATGAAAATAATATTTTATTAGATGTGGTGGATGAATTGTTAGATAAAAATAGTATTTTATTAGATGTTATGGGTGAGTTTTAGGGTTGAAAATATGTGAAATTGTACTTTTTAAGATTTTTTGCTTTTCATTTCTATTTTTCGGTTTTTTGGGAAATAACCAAACAGGCCCTAAATAAAAAAGGAAAACCGGAAAAGAAGAAGAATAAGCCTCGGAGGAGCAAGCACATGGCCACAACCTAACAAAGGGGAACAAGAATAATATGATAAAATAATCAAGCCAAGTCACACAACTATATAAAACAATAACGTACCGTTTACGGAAAATTTTATATCAAAGCCATTCGTTCCGTTTAGGGGCCGACATAGTTGAAGAAGAAGAGCTACATTCCTCCAAATATTAAATCAGAAATCTTTCGACGTTGTGAAAGATTCATGGAGTTTGAGCAGCTCTCTACCATCAAAATAACGGATTTGGATCCTCTCTACTACAAAAAAGCAGTGGAGAGACCGTTACTTTTAATCTCAATCGTTGATTACGTAGTACGCGGTTATGATACAATCTAAATCTAACCCTCATCATACCCCCGTGTATTGCACTCAAAGAAAAAATCATAACCACCAACTAGATAATCAATGGTTGTGATTATGTAGTGGTCCCTCCACCATCTTTTAAATAGTGAAGAGGATCTGAATCCCAAAATAACACTCCGATACTAAAAAACAATTCTTCCTTAATAAGCACCTCAAAAATGCAATAACTGCAATATTTGCAGTTGTCATTTATAAATTAAATAATCATATCGTTAAGCCAGGGATGAGAAGATACAAAATAATCATATGCAGAAATTAATAAATAAATAACATCAAACGGAGAGCATGGATATAATTTTATTGGAAAAAAATAAATAGAAATCTATGGTTCCAGAAACTACAAACAAATTTTATTGGAACAAACGACGTCTGAGAAAAAATCACACTCTAAATAGAAAATCTGCTAACAAGAGCTAAAAAGAAGTTCATAACCTTGTTAGATGATTTTTTTTTTCCCTTCAGAAATTGAAATAAAAGCGAGTGATGCAAATCTCTTGAAGAGGCATATGCATCACTCATCCATCGAAAAATACCTCTAATAGGTAACTTCAGGTTCAAGTACATCTGTTCCTGGCTGTTGAGATCAAAAAATAAAAAGCACATTGTAAGCCACAATAAGCATGAACTAATAAATAAAATGGAAAACTGCAAACAGAATTATTTGCTTAGCCTCATCGTTATGACAATTCCAGGTTTTTGTGAAAGCAATAGGCTTATTGAAAAGCTTGGTTGTCAGAAGAAGAAGATGAAGAAATCAGGATAAGGAATCAAGCTTCTTCATGATATGTTTCACACTCATGGAGAATAATCCGTGGGGCTTATTGCGGATAGACCCTATGTAGTTCTATTGCTACAGATAGACCTCGTACTACCGCCCAAGTAATGGCTGACAAGGTCTTAAATATCATATCTCGAGAAAATATTAAATGGCCAAAATCCATATCAGATTGTGGACATCGGGGAAATATCGGGAATATATAGTAATATCATAGTGTCATGTCAGATTATGTGCATTCAGAATATAATGTCCTAAAATGTAATGTAAACATAATTAATTAAATATAAGCATACAAAAAGGTAAATAATACATGTTTAGGATCATAAAGCAATTGTATGAAATTATTTAGGGAAAAGAGCCGGCTAGAGTTTACTTAAAAGATCCATAGGGCTGGAATATGGGTCCGGATTCTCTATAACCTTGATTGTAGAGAACACATACAATTGATTAGGCGGGCTAATACTATTCGTTCATCTCAGTGGATCCCACAATGAAAAGTATTGTTATATTACTAGATAATTCATATCATTCATGGGGTCCACTGAATGAGGAGATTTAATTGGTGAGTTGTAGTCATTCTCTACAATCGAGAATGTAGAGGATCTCTACCCTTGGAATATTTGCTGTAAACATTAAAAAAAAATTGTAGAACTATATTGTTATGCAACAAGCCATATAAAAGAAAACGCTGGCTAACATTATTAGCTAATATATCGCCGTTCGGAGACATATCATCCAAAAATTGTTAAAAAAAGATAAAGGGTATTGAGACCATATTGTTTCGCAGCAAGCCTTATAAAGATATATTGGCGCATATACATTCTATATCGGGGATATTTAAAACAACAATAACTAATGGACCCCTGAATTTTTTTTTTTTTTTTTTGGAATCTTTTACACTCAGATAAAGAGTGACACTTGGGGGGTTTAACAGCATTGGGCAATACTACATTTTTTGGAGGGGCTGGTTGTTTTATTTTTTGGGCGTATACTACATAGTGATGGGCCTATTGGCAATTAATCCTAATCCCGCGTATACTACATAGTGATTAAGTTTTGATTTAAGAGATTAACATGTAAATTACCAATTCAGCTTCAAATCTATGGTTAACACACAATTCAAACATTGAGAATGAGTTTCAAATTGAAAATGTAAGTGATGTCAAGTCAGAGAAAACCAACCTTGTTTTCCCATAAACTTATAAGGTCCGGTAAACCATCATCATCGAATAATAGCCCATCTTCCTCGTATGCTGCCCTTATATGGATCTCCTTCGTAAATGTGCGCATACTTCTAGCTGCCCCTTCCTTCAAATTAGCATTGAAATCTTGACTTACGATCGAACCGTACCCCACGTTACCACTGATCATATCTTGATTCACAATATCTGTCGCCACCTCGAAATCTCCTTGTGCTTCTGTCATGCTTTCTTGTATCATCCCTGTCGAAGCGTGAGGTGCAATGCTACCTTGAACATTATACAGTGCTTGAGGAACTGCAGCATATTGCTGCATGTTCATATAGTTTCCATGAAATGATTGGCCTCTATTCATTGTAGGCCCTGTTCTTAATAAAACATGGTCCGAAATCCCGTTAGAAATCATAGAATCATGAGAAAATTGCCTGCTATGTTTAACAAAGGAATTTGTTGGCAGGCTCGCGAAACCTTGAGTCGCTTGGAAGCCCAAATTTCCATATGTTTGCAAAATTTGGTTATTGTTCACTTGTTGCATCATCATCGGACTTAGATTCGAAGAACTTGCAAATGAAGGGTTGGGGCTGAAGAAACCCCTTTGGTCGAAGCAAATGTTGATAGGTCTTCGCTGTCCTAGATTCATAAGAGCTTGAGGTGGAAGTTGATTTAGTGGTGAATTTGGAACATTTGAAAAAAATGCCTCCCCGCTCTCTTGCTGCTGTGTTGCTTTTAACCTCTTCAAATATAGACGGTATTTCTGCACAAGGTCAAAGAATTTTGTTAGCTAAATGATAAAAAAAAATTAGATTTCAAAATGAATGTACTGAAAATATAAAAAATAGCACCGCAAGGGTTATCTGCTACCGTGCCAATCATTTCAAATAAAGGGTAAACTACCCTGTGAACTATTGGAAATTGTCATAGACATTTTCATGATAATCGTGAAGGGTAAACTACCCTTGTTAATATTCATCTATGCTATAACCCAAAAAAAAAAAAAAAACTACGTAAGGGCAAAACTACCCATAACAGATCACATAAAAAAATGTGACGACCTAAACTGCTTGTCCTCAGTCAACAAGTTCAAGGGGGTTTCAATTATGTATAAAGTTGGGGGGTTTCAAGCAGAACACACCAAAAGCTCAGGGTTTTTTCATGAAATTAACCCTTGAAATAAGAGTACTTCTTTTTGGACCCAAAACTCATGAGACCAAACCATGAGGCAGGGTCATTCATACCTTTCTTGGGATTTGAACCAAGATCAATGACTACCATAAAGACGCATCAAAGGTCCGCTAGTTGATCACATGATTTTAGGTCCAAAATTCATTTCTCTTAAAAAGTTCTAAACATTTTTAGACTAACATGAAAATGAAAGAATAATAAACGAAATGTGAAAGCTGCTATTTCCATGATCGTAAGAAGCATAAAGCTTTATTTTCTAGTAACATGCATATATATCAAGTGGTTGTCTTTGAAGCAATGCTATATTCAAAGAATTCATGTACGTACTTATATTCATCAGAAGTAAATAGTTTCCAAAACATCACCAATTAGCTCAAGTACTGCACTCTTGATGTTTCCACATCACAAATCACTATAGAAAATTTGCAAAGAGTTCAAGCAAAGAGTTCCATACATTCTTGTTGTACATTAAAGGATGGGGAAAAACAAAGAAAGAAAAAATAACTGATTATGAATAGGAGATTCATGTCAAGATACAAATACTGCAAGAAGCTGCGAAGAGTTTTGTCACACATTAAAATTTTCATTCAAGACCCTGATGGAATATAATCATGTGACAAGTCCAGAGCATTACATAGCTCATGTCTAGAAAATTACACTACGTCACTGAAGGGAGATAACTAATCTTTTTAAGTTATATTCACCCCAAAAGAACCATTATAGATGTGTTATGCAATGTTTCCTCTTAAAGGACAATATTTCTGAACAAAGTCCAATATCTTTTTATTGTTTATGGCGCATACTTGAGAGATATCCCTCAAGCAAAATCCAGATATCGCATGCTAATACAATTTGGCTCGTACTTGAAAATGAATCAGATATGAACCAAATATTGCCATGTATACAGATATACTTCAAGAACAAAAATTTAGAGTATTTGTTATAAATGGATACAATACGTGACTGAGTTTCAGTAAAATCCATATTTCTTTTGGCTGAATGACGATTTTCATAGTACATTACATGATATCTTTTAGGAATAAGGTGATGTGCATTACACTTGGCTGACTATGATTGCTGAAAACTAAATAGAAAATACAGAAAAATAAAGATTTGTATTGTTGGATAGATTTAAAGTTTGATATGTAATTATATATTTATATGTTTATGCCACAATTGCATTTCATTTGACCTGTTTTCACATTGTACTGAAACAAATTTCATGTTGATCATCATTTATAGGTGTAGCCTACTAAATAATTATTAGTTATGAACTTGTGAAGAATCGCTGAAAGTAAATAATAATAATAATAAATGATAGAAATTAAAATATATATCTCAAATTACTATACCTGCAAGTGACTAGCGACATTCTCTCTAGTGAGTGTTGGGTTGTTCATCAACTCAAGAATTTTCTTAGGCACGGCCTCTGCACAAAGATTTAAAAATCAACTAACAATTCAACAAGAAAACTAGTTGAAAATCAGAATTCGGGTGTTTGGGAAGGCTTATTTTTTGAAGCTTATAAGTGATGCTAGCTTTTAGTGGCTATTGGCTTTATGATAAAAAAAATTATAAAAATTGTTTGGGTAGTATAATTATTTAAAAGTCAAACCTAGATTTTCAAAAATTCGGGTATACTAGCTTTTTAAAATGTGAATTAAAGCTAACTTATTTCATATTTTACCCAACTGGTAGAAATGAAAAAGCTAGCTTAAAAGCTAGTTTGACCAAAAAATAAGCACCCCAAACACCCTCTAAGCATAGTGAGAAGTTGTCCTAAATTTGCAATAAAACATAGGTTTAACTGTGGATAGACCTCCTGTATTTCTATTTTTACACTATCGCCAAACTGCAGATAGACATCCTGAGCAATGGGACTATTTTACCCTCAAAAAGTTTTTTTGAAAATCTCGTTCTCTCAGGGTAAAAGTGTTGAAAGCATTGTCTCAGGGGTTCTATTCGCAACAATAGAAGTACAGAGGGTCTATCCACAATTGGGCAGTACTACAGGTGGTCTACCCGCAACTATCCCTAAAACATAAAAACACTGAAGAGGGCTCATTCTTACTTTCAACTCCCAATTGCTCAACAGCTGCAACAAACTGCTGATGGAGTTCACACGTCCAAACGACTCTCTGTTTCTTGGTAGTAGACATATGCTCGCGTTCCTCAGTCTTTTCTTCTTCTTCCTCTTCCCTTTTCCTCTTGATCGCCGTAGAAGTATTTTCATCAAATGACTTATTATGATGATCGTTATCCTCTGAACCCCCAGAGTACTCAACCTCTTTCAATTTCGACTCATTCCTCTGCTTTCTAACCACATGTTGCCATATGTTCTTCAATGCATCTATACGCACTGGTTTTATAAGGTAATCACACGCGCCATGTTTGACCCCCATCAGTACCAAATCATATTCATCCTCCGAGGACATCACTAGTAAAATTCGTCTAATTAATAAAATAATTTTAAAAAACTAAAACCTCACTCCTAAGTAAGCACAAACTTTTATTTGGCTAAATTGCAGATAAACTACATCATATATACCCTCAGTAGCACTTACCCATCTATGCCACAAATTGAGAGGTAATGAGCCTACTGATGATATAAATAGGAGAAGTTATCTGCAATTTAACCCACATAAATCCATTCTAATAATTAAAAAAAATTCAAAAATACAAGTTAGCTCAAATTTTAACTGGTAATTTGCATATAACCCCCACCCTTTATATCTCCAATATCACTTATGGCCCCTCAAATTGCGGATTACCCATTTATGCCATAAATTGAGAGGTGATTAGAGAGGTAATATGCGATTTACCCAATTTTTAATCCACGTAAAGGTTATTACTTACTAATAACGGGAAGATCCATCTCCAACCCAATGTGCTCCAGAAGCCTGAACCCATTCATGTCGGGCATATGAACATCACTCAGAACAAGGTCAAATTTCCCTTTGTTGGCACGAAGAATGTCCAATGCATCCATGGCCCGAGAGCAGGTAGTAACTGTAACAAATTAAATTCTATAAATTTAGCACTAAGCCATTTGATATCTAGCAAAATCACGACGACCCAAATTAAAAACATGTGGGAAAATCATTTAGAATGACACTAAATATAGCACAAATCCAATGGCTGTAGACAGCGGCTCGCTTAGTGAAGTTTTCAAAAAAAAATCTAAGTTTACCCGTATCCCTTTGCATTCCTGTCTTTGAAAGATGCTAAATTTAGCATTGACAACGACCCAAATCGAAAATAAGAGATGAAATCATTTGGGAGTAGCTGAATTACCTTGATACCAGTATTTATTGAGCATGATACTAAATCATGACAACTCGAATTATTGCATGTTTAGGCATTTTGAAAATTTTCACCTTACTCCTATCCCTTTGTATTTGTATCATTGCAAACATTAGCTTTCTGCATGTATTACTGAATAAAATTTAGGATTTTTATGATGTAATTTATCAGCTCTCTCCATCATAATCGCTAAAGCTCACGTCTTTCTGATAAAATGGATGGTTTCACAAAATGGGTAATCAATATATTTTCGTTAAATGCGATAATAATAAAAAAAACCCAACTTTGGCTTCAAAACTCGATCAACATTGTTCGGGCAAGAGCTGAGTTACCCTGATAGCGGCATCTCTGGAGCATGGCCCTGATGATGTGGACGCACGTCCGGTCGACGTCGACGACCGAGGACATGGAGGCCGGCGGGGAACTTGTCGGGCGCGGAGGGCCTGTGCGTCCGCCGCCGCCGCCGCCGTATCAGGGTGAGGTTTGTTGGACTCCCATTTAAAGGGAGACCGAGGAGAAAGATTGCTCCTTTGATGGTGAGCTGGGATTTTTTTTTTTTCCCTTTGATTTGGATCTTGGATATTCTCTGGAGATAAGGGGAGATATTTGAGCGAGAGAGAAGGGAGGAGGTTAGAGTTGGGATTTGAATGGTGGCGTCGATCTGCTCCCATTGAAGAAAGAGAAAAAAGCCCAGCTAAAATATTTCAACAAACAAACTGAAATCAGATTTCCTCTCTCTCTCTCTCTCTCTCTCTCTACATTCTGTTATCAGCAACAAACATGCTACCAGCATCCTCTCTGTATCGTTTGGAGAGAGAGAGAGAGAGAGAGAGGAGAGAGAGGAAGCGGGAGCACTCTGCGCCCGCCGTGAGCGTTCGAGTGTCACAGTAAATTAATCATGTTCAAATAAATTAAAACTTGTACTATAAAAATGGATGATCTAATAATACCATCGAGTTAAGAGGGGTTAGCTTAGAAATTGTAACTCTAGTAACTATGATGCAGACCATTCTACTCCAACAGAGATAGTTGTGATAGGATCTCTCCTGTAAATAAAAATTTATCAGGATGTTAATTTTTTTTTAATTTTTATCCTTGAATATAAAGTTTATCAGAAAACTATGTTCTTTTGTGGGGTTTGTATTCTCAGATAAAACTTATACTCTATTTTCAAATATAGGTATTTATCATTACACTGTGTTCTTTGCATGGTGTTCTAGTAAAATTTTGTACTGCTTCCTCAAGTACAAATATTATTAGAACACTCCAAATATTTCCGTTAAAATGTCTGGTCTCTTCTTAATAACAAATCATATCATACTCATTTTAAAAGTACGAGGTCGGGAAAATCTTTTCATGATCAATATTACCCTTAACTTTTTTAAATATTACATTGTTAGCCTAATCTATTCTAAATCTTATCTTCTTTGAATTGGTAATTAAATGTTTTATCATATTCATAATGAGACTTAACATGTTATTGGTTAAAGGAAGTACGTTTGATATGATTCAAATTCTTTACTTATTTCAGTTCGTAGAGAACTACAAATATCCTCTACATAATTCATAATTTATAGAAAAAAACTCTAAAGTTTCAAAAATTATAAACGAACAATCAACTTTTAAAATTTATAAAAAACACCATGAAAATTTCTAACTCATTTGTAAATTGAAAACATACGAATTATAAATAGTCTATGAACAATTTATAATCTATAGTAAAGGCCTATAATTTTAAAAAAGTTGTAAAAACCCCTAAATTCATAATTTACAAAAAAAATACCATTAGAATTTCTAACTTATAGACACTAAAATGAATATACATAATTATTAACAACCCCTAGAAAATTAAAATTTTGTAAAAAATGTCATACTCCCTTTAAAAGTATAGGTTTAGAAAAAACTTTTCATGGTCACTATTACCTATAACTTTTTAAAAAAGAACATAACTAATTAAAAATCTATTAAATTTAAAATTTATAAAAGAAACCTTATAGTTTAGTACATTGCAAATTGCCCCTCCAAAGTTTGAAATTTTTAATGGTTTTTTTTGTAATTCCTTGATTTCAATATAATGTTTAATAGTTTCGTGTATTTGTAAATTATAAAATTTTAGGGTATTTTTTACAATTTTTAAAACTTTTGTGGGTGTTTTTTTTGTAGTTTTCTAAATTTTTATTGTGTTTTTAATGTAATGCATAGATATGTCAATTAATAATGATATTAACGAGTAAGTCATTCTTAAGATATATTATGCCATAGTTAAGTGTGCTTATCACTATTCCTAGGCAATATAGTTTATATATGCAAAAAAATTTAGACAATCTATATAGTGGTTAAAAGGACTTTAATTTATTATTTTTTATAAATTAAATTTAATGTGAATCTAGGATATAATTTTAATATGTTTGATTGATTGATTATATAGGTATATAGACCATAGATTACTTTACTTTTTCACATGAACTAATATTTGACGCTTAATAATTTAAATTATTACTTCTAAATTTAATATAAAAAGGATCTCTAATAACATTTATTTATTTACCTAGAAGACAATACAATCTCAATTTCTATTTTTTCTTGAGATTTGTTTTATAATTACGCATATCAAATTAGTAAATAAAATAATAATTATTTATGCTTAAATTAGGATGATTGCAGTTAGTCACTCACTATGGAATTTTCATGAATATATATATATATATATATATCTTATTTTCTATAGTTATTTGCATTGCCCATGTATATTTTATAAATTAGCTGTTAATTTGACGTATTAAATTTTTTCCCTTTTGAAAAAATTTCTTTTTTGACTTTTGGATTGTGTAATCACTATATCACAATCCTAGCGTAGAAAGGATCTCACTCTAAATGCCTTCAAACCAATGTTTGAGTTGAACTGAAATATATATTATTGCTACTATGTGTATATATTTTTTTTAAAAATCATATCAACATTTTTTAAACAGAAGAGAATATTTTAACCTGTGATCTTATAAAAACTAAATATAACAAATTGAGTGAATAGAAAACGAGAACTTACATCTGAAAAACGTGAATAATAAGATAAAGAGGAAAAATAATGGTATTGTCAGCAATACTACTAATAGCAAACTACAATGTAAAGTTAACCTATTTTGTGGATACCAACTATTGGCTATAAGCATCTAGATTTTCATATATATACTTTTTATAATTTATTAAAAGCAGTCATATAATAAAATTAATTTCATACTGAATAGTAATATCGTTGTAATAATATCAGTATCAGGAAAAATTCTTTGTGAACTAATATGTTCTTTACGATATATAAGTTATGCACTCCAAATTCTTGTGTCTTTTATAGAGTCAAACAGTTTGAATACGAGCCTCTAACATTTTGCTCTCACAAGAGCAAAATCCATTTAGCGGATATGGATATTCCAGATAAGTTATGTGTCCTATATACAATACAATTTTCCTAGACAAGTGAGTTATAATAGCATTTTTCATTATATTTTTTAGGACAAGATTTGATAGAGACCTTGCATCAAAGAAAAAAGAAATTTTTATATTCAGAGCACATGGCGAAATATATCATAATCTCCCTGCTGTAGGGTCGAAAAATTGATGTTGGGATTGATTTTCTTGTTTTAAGAAATGGGTTCGATCACTTGGTACGAAACCCTTACAATCACTCACACTCTCTCTCGATTACAGAGGAAGAGAAGATTAATTCAGCTTCTCTTTTGTTTAAGGTGGGTTTTAAGTGGCGAAATGATGTTTCCCCCGATGCTTGAGTCGAGCTTGCCTCCCGTTGACGATCAGACCAATATCACAAGAGCTTCTGATCTTCGTTAGCCGGCTAGAATCGAAATTCGAACTCCGGATTTACACGCAAAAGCTCTGATTTCTGATGATTAAAAGTCTCAATTAACCAACTCTTTTCTCTGTAGTCATCCATGGCTATTTATAGGGTTTAAGTAAGTAACTGACGTGCTACAATCACGGATAGAGGGGCGTAATTGTCTCCCCCAAATCCGCGTACGCCGTAACGTGCTCCTGAAGATTAGCCCACGTGGATGACGAACCTCGACCTCAATTGAAACGGAGTTCGACAAGTAAGACGAGCCTCGAGGTTCGTCTTACCAAGCAAACATTGCAGTAGACCAGTTTCTCCTGACAAAATTTATCTTCACTGACTTCGTCTGACGAACCTCGCTTTCAGTAACGAACTTCAGCTTCAACAGCTGAGTCCAACTACGTAGTAAGTCTTGTGAGTTCCCTTTTTAACGAACCTCATCTTCACTAATGAGTTTCATATCTAGTAATGAGTTTTGAACCTCGTGTCCAATGATGAGCTTCGAACCCCGTATTCACCAATGAACCTTAAACCTCGTATCCAATGACGAGCTTCGTCTTTGATGTCAAGTCTCATTTCCAATGATGAGATTCGAACCTCGTTTCTAATGACGAGCTTCACATTTTGTTTCCAACGACAAGCTTTGTTGTTTAAGACGAGGTTCATCATTGTAATGACCCTCATCATGCTGGTTATGAGCTTCAATGTTCTAAGATCAAATTATTAGCCAATGATCTATGAAGATCCATAAGAGTGGAGGAGAGATAGGCTCTTTGACTATCCTCTCAATCTCCTCTCCCCCTTTCTTTTCATGTTGATCATGTCTATTTATAGGCTTAGGGCCATTATGGAGTGAGTTAATGGGTTTTAACTCCCCTTATAATGAGGGAGTTAGTGGTCATTAACTCTCATTTAAATGGATCAGTTAGTGGTCATTAACTCTCCTTAAAGGGGTGAGTTATTGATCATTAACCCTCATTTAATGTAGCCCTTTAAAACGGTGCCTGACAAAGTTCGTTTGCCAAACGAGGTTTGTCCGCCCGACGAGGTTCGTTTGTCAGATGAGGTTCGTCCGCCTGACGATGTTCGTTCACTTCGCTATATCTTTGGCGAGCTTAACTGCGGCTTCGTCTTCGGCAAACTTCATCTTCAATGACGAACTTCGTTTCTAGGCGAACTTCGTCTTTTGATGGGTAAGGTGTTGTTTGTCCTATTGAACTGAGACAAACTTCATGAATTGAGACTGAGGTTCGTCATTGTGGCGACCCTCGCCGTGCTTGTAGTGAGGTTCAACTCTCCTTTGTTTCTTGGAACTTTTTAGTGTTTACATCTGCTCTACTTTTTTAATAAAATAATTATTTATACTTTCAATTTTACTTCTATGATAATGTGAATGGGCTATAAAATTTAATGAGAATATTAGATAATATAAATATGAGTGAAATCACAACTAAAAGTTAATGTGAATATGAGCTAAACTACAACTAAAAGTTTAATGAATATATTACAAGTAAATTCATATGCAAAATTTCTTTGCGAATTGAATGATCACCCATCTTTTGAAAACCTCAAGATACTAATAAACGGAGATGTTATACTAGATCAATGTGTTTATAACTGATAAATAGTAGATCACGTGGCCACAATTTGAGTTAAAGGAAACAATGATAATATTTCATTTGAGAGAGAGATTATTGAGGTTGTGATCAATCCCACAAAAAACTTTATTTTTTATTTTTATCTATTTTTTATCAAATTAAATAATCAACATATTCAGCCACGTGCATTGCACGTGCATCTCAACTAGTTTTATCAAAATAAACAACATGCAATCAGGATGTTCTGAACCATAAAAGAGACATCTAAAATATCAATATAAACAAAATAACTAACTTATCTTAAACATATTGGTGAACTCTCTCAACTTTCCCCTTAAAGTATCAATTTACTTCTTTTGCTTCCCAATGTGTTCATTTCATGATTCTACAAATCAAATATTTAACAGATCAATGCCATGATGGTTTTTTTTTTTGAATTTTTCACGAGGTTTTATCAATCAATCTCCTTTTTTCCAACCCAAAAAAATTCTTAACTACTTTTCCCTTGAACTATTTGCTGATTAACCCCTTTTAAGAATTGAAAAAAAAACTTTTTTTAAAATTTCATAAAATATAGGAATCCAAAAAAACACTATCATGTCATTAATCTATTAAGTACTTGATTACAACTTTGCAGGCTTGACAAGATGATTCTATTGAGCACATGAACGTAGGCTCTGTTTGGCAAAACTAGCTGAAAGCTGCGAGATTATAGCTGAAAGCTGTTAAACTAGCTGAAAGCTGTAAAATAGTAGCTGAAAGTTGATAGCTGTGTGGCTAGCTGATTGACTAGAGCTGTTTGGCAAAAGTAGCTGTACAACTAGCTTAAATTTGTTAAACGATTAAAAAGGACATGCAATATTATTGATATAAAATTAGAATTATTAGGGGAAAAAAATGGAAAAAAAAATTGGCAGCTCCTTCCCAAAGACAAACGCTACTTGATGTAGCTTTCCAAAAGCTACTTGCAAAAGTCACAATCTCCAAAATAATCTCCCCCTATTTTTGGTCACCAAACAGCTCTACTAGCTTATTGACCAAGTCAATAAGACACAATCTCTTAGATAAGACACAATCTCTTGTTGCCAAACAGTGCCGTAGTTTAAACGAAAATTAGGCAACTTGATAATTAAGGAAAGAACTTGAGAGTTCATCAATACCGTAAAAGAGGATTTGATTATTTTGTCCTATCAAAATTAATATTCTCCTTCCATCCTTCTGTGAATGACTCAAAACACAATGCTGTTTCAAAATTATTTGCATTACTACTCGGGCAGTCTTGTACATGCGCTCAATTGACATAAATTTAAAGGTCCTCTTTGTTAAATACATAATTATTATTTTTATTATTATTATTATTATTTGGTGAACCATTTTCATTGTTATTGTCCCGAACTCCTAATCATTAAGATTAGGCATGCTTGCCTAGGGCTCGATCTTGGTACTAGTCCATAATGATCAAATTTGAATCGTGAGCCCATTAATGAAGCAAATTCAATGAAAACAATAGTTGGTACCATAGAGAAGAGATCGTAAACTTGAGCTGGCAGTGGGAATCGAACTGCGTCGTTAGCTTGGAAGGCTACAGATTATAGTCGGCATTAATTGAATATTTTTAACGGATTTAATTCAAAACCGAATATGAAATTTTGATTTCATTTCGGCTCCTTTATGGAGGATCGGTGATGGGGTAATTTCCGTGTGATCCTTCGAACCATGTGTATCAAATCCTCATGCACGGCTAAAAGGGCATCCCTCATCTTTCGAGAAATTAATTTCCTATGGCTGCTCCACAAGAGAGTCAAATTTAAGATATTGCCTTACTTCTTATAAGCAGCTTAACAACTCAGTCGGACCCTCTTGAGTTCTTTGTTAATTACATTATGCAATAATGACTAGTAAACCAAATAAAAAGAATCAACAACAAAATCAAGTTGCAATACATTTTAAAAAACGAAAGCATAATAAAAAAACACACAACACCCAAATACATGTTTACGTTTATCATTATATATAACAATCAAACACAGTTAAGAGTGTTCATCGAAAAATATTTCATTGATATTGTTCTCTGTGATTCTATATGGCCGAAGACAAAATGAATCCAGTAGTTATTCCCTACGAGCATATCTATTATAATGGATTTTGTTTGTTTAGTAGAATGTAACAGTATATAATCTTCGATCAGTTAGTTTTTCCAATCTTCTTAATTAATTAACTTTTTGGCCCAGCTAAAAAAAAGGGATTCTATTTAGAAGTACGTAAGAGTACGTTATATTCAGTTATTAATTTTTTTTCGTAAGTAATATGCAGTTATAAAAAATTCCCATCTTCTTATAATTAACTTTTGGCTCAGCAAAAATAAAATTTAAAAAATGTAATTAAAAAGTAATAATAACAATAAAATAAAATAAAAATTGGAAAATGCTTTCGTTGAGAGTCGAACTCAAGACCTCCCGCTTACTAAACGGGTGCTCTAACCAACTGAGCTACGAAAGCTTGCGTACTCATCTCTTTACTTAAACTAAATTGACTACATCTCGTCGACCAGCCTCGGTTGTTTGTGATATTTGGATTAACTTGAGGGTCTGTATCGCTAATATTAACATTACAAAGATGAAAAAAATAGTTAATTATGTATTAGTTCATCTGGTTCTATAACTTTTATGAAAGCATATACACCGTCCATTTCAATTGATGTTGTGTTTAAAGAGGTACAGTAGCATGTTTATATTTACCAACTAGGCTTTCCATGTTAGAGGCTGTTTGGTCAGATAGAAATGAAGTTGTAAATGTAAATAGTACAACCGAATTTGTAAATATATTATTGTGTCTACAACTTTAAATTAAAAAATAAAAATAGATTCGCGTTTTGTTTATAAATTTTTTTTGCAGCAAATGCTGCAATTAATTTAGTGGAAGTAAAAGCTGCATGCTTCAAAAAATATAATTAAAAATAAAGACAAATCCATCCCGTCAAAAAAAAAATTCAAAGAAAAAAAACATTTAGATCAAGATTTCCTCGTATGCTAAACCTTTGTAGCTTTTGCCATTGTTTTTCAACCAAACACTAAAGTGGCATTTGAAAATGTGTTTCCTACAATATAATTGCAGACATCCAGACATCCAATTTGAAATTGATTTCCTATAACAAATGCTACATGCAACATTAGTTGCGGCTAAGGGTGGAAATGAATCAAATAATTAACAAATAGTTCGATAATTGTTCGAGTAACTATTTGGTCATATTCAATTCGATAGTTGATTTACCACTAACCAAATATATTTAGTATTCGAGTTTACTAACGAATAGAATTTAACAAGATGTATATTCGATTCGTTTGTCTATCCAATATTCGTTTAAAATTTGTTCACTGATTATTTATATTGTTGCACATATGATGTCATATTTTAACCTATTTACCATTTATACTTAAGTTTTATGTACTGATTCTAAGACTTAAATAAATTTAAATCTATTTTCTAATGAAAAACATACATACATTATATATTATAAAGGAATAATTTTTATTTATGAATTTAAATACTATTTGAAAATCAAATTCTTTAGCGAAATAAATATATTTTGATATTCGAAAAGTATTTGTGAATATTCATGAATATTTATCAAATACCAAGTATTCGAGTTCGAATTTGAAAAACTCCATATATGAATATTAGAGTCCGCATTCGAATTCGATAATTTTAAGTAAATACAAATACGAACGCCTTAATATTCGATTTTATATATGAATATTTGAGCTCGCATTTAATATCATTAAACAAAGTGTACTATATATTATTCCTCGTGAAACAATGCTTCACCAGATCACTGTGTTATATTTTAACAACAAATAGGCAAAGTCACAAATAGCGGACGACCACGTGTAACTTAGTGGCACATTTGCAATTCTTTTTAAAATGGATGTATTAGTGTGTGTTTGGCAAACTATACAAAATTGGATCAGGACTAATCCTAACCTAGTTTGTGTTAAATCAGTTTTCTTTTGGACCAGCTTCCCCCAAATCTAAAAGAAAACTGGTTTAGCGCTAATTTTTAAACTAAAAAAATTAGACCAACTCTACCCTGAATATTTAAGGAACAATAAACTACTTAAAATTAAAATTAGTTCGGATTCAGTGGTGATCCCATTTTACCATGGTGTCAAACACGCCCTTATTTTTACAAGATTTTCATTGTACACATTGAAAAAAAAAGATTTTCATTGTACGCAAAGCGAATTCCCATTTTAGCCCACCAAGAAATGACATGTGTGGGAAATTGGGAGCATAATCCAAGGGCATTTACGTTATTTTATGGAAATATACGGGTTAATTAAAATCCATTCGAGTTATCTCAACTCTCACGTCTCCTCAGAGTCCTCTCTTTCTCCTATACTTCCCCCTTACTTCCTTTGTGTAAAAAAAAAAAGAAATTTCTATCGTAATTTAATAAGGGTTTTCGTATCGAATCTCTGTCAATTTTCGAAGGGATTCGTTCGATGGAGTTGGATTCGTGGACTCGGTTATCGAAGCGCGACCAATCCGCTCTCCAATCGCGATACGGTGAGTCGATGAAACCCTAGCTCTTTTGAGGTCGATTAGGGTTTTTAGTGGTTTTTGATTAGTTTTTTTGGTCTTTAGATCTTTATCTAGGGTTTGGAGGGATTGATGGAGGCGATGAGGAGGCTCGAGTGGAGTTCTCTTGCCCGTTTTGCTCCGAGGATTTCGATGATGTTGGGCTTTGCTTTCATATAGATGATGAGCATCCAGTTGAGGCGAAGAATGGGGTGAACTTTTAGTTTGAATTGAAAAATCTTTGGAAGTCCTTGCTTTTTTGGTTAATAATCTAGTAAAGCTTGTTAATTTGAAAATTTGCTTATTTATCTGATTATTTGCACTTTAATACCACAAAATTTCACCTTGTGATACCTTGAAGTTCTATTTTGAGCATTTGATACCGCAAAGTGCAAAAAAGTTGATACTCAAGTTTCAGTTTTTGAGTCTGGGGGAAGTGAGGAACAAAGATAGGGCTTTGGGGTATCAAACTTAGGGGTGGTAAACGATCGAATCGAATCGAATACTAAGGTGTTTGTATTTGTATTTGTTTAAAATTATCGAATTCGAATGCGGACTCTAATATTCATATATCTAGTTTTTCGAATTCGAACTCGAATACTTGGTATTTGATAAATATTCATGAATATTCATGAATACTTATCGAATATTAGAGTATATTTATTCTGCTAAAAAATTTGATTTTCAAATAATATTAAAATTTATAAATAAAAATTATTCCTTTTTAATATATGATGTATATATATTTAAATCAAAATTTTAATTAGAAAATAGATTTAAGATTATTTTAGACTTAAAATCAGTATATAAAAGTTAAGTAGAAATGATAAGTGAATTAAAAATATAACATCATTTGTGCAATAATACAAATAATAAGCTGTGATTAAATTTTAAACGAATATTTAATAGACAAACGAATCGAATTGATTAAATTTTAAACGAATATTTAATAGACAAACGAATCGAATATACATCTGGTTAAATTCTATTCGTTAGTAAACTCGAATACTAAAAAATATTTGTTTAGTAGTAAATGAACTACCAAATCGAATATGATCGAATAGTAATTCGAACAATTATCGAACTATTTGTTAATTATTTGGTTCATTTCCACCCCTGATTCAAACTGTCAAAACAGAACCTTGACGTATTAAAGGTAAAAAGGGTCAAACTTTGGGGGTATTGAAGTGCAACTAGGGCTGATTTATCCAATTGATAACTGAAATTAAAATGGGAATCAAGTGTTTGTTCTTCTTTGTCTACAATTAATCAGCAGAATTTGTTTTCCTCCACTCATTTTAGTTTTAGTTATTTTCATAATGAAGCTTTCTTGGATTACTTGAGCTATTTGAGTTAATTCCAGAGGCTGCTGCATTTTGGAAACTAAATAAAACTTATATATGTTGATTTGCTTTATTTTAATCTCTCTTACATATTTTTTTGTGGTTGGATCATGAAATGAGTTTCTGTTTTAAGTAGGTCACCTTGAGAAGGGATTAAATAGTTCTTATACTTGCTGTTCACTATTTTGAGCAGTCCAATTCGTTGTGTTCTTCAATAGTCTTAAGTTTATTATATATGTAAAACTGAGGCACACTACTTGATCTGGGAAAATTACTCAGCAGTCTAGATTCAGTAATTCTTGAGCTTTCTATTATATCATGGATAGCCATATAAGAAAGTTTTATCTCTCTGCTTTCAAAATGAAACTTCCTATGCAGTCCCTTACTACTTTCAGTTTAAAATATATCATATATGTTGTTGATTGAATTATAAGGATAAACATTAGTTATGAATACATAATTATTTTGGAAAAGCAGTATTAGTTTGTCCATCGAAATAAGCAACGCAACTAGTAATTCACAAGAAACTGGTGTAGTATGAAGGATAAACATTAACTAAAACATTAATTCTGAATTAAGAATGGCTTTGGGAGAGCAATATTATTGTTGATGGCCATCGAATAAGCAATGTAAGTAATAATTCACAAGAAACCGGTGTAACCATTTGGTGCTTCATATTTTAGTTATGCATGCTAGATAATAAGTTAAAGATTAATGCTTAACTGAGTTCAGTTACATTTTGCAGGTATGTCCTGTCTGTGCGGCTAGAGTTGGCTCAGACTTTGTTGCTCATTTGACAATGCAGCATGGAGATTTCTTCAAGATATCCTTTCCTGCTGTCTTGGATTATTGTTTCTTTTTTTTTAAAGCTTCATCTTTATCCACTATTACTGCCACAAATTTCAGTGATAATGAGTAATACTTATTTGTTAACTAGTTGACCATTTACAAAACCAAAGTTCATTCATAACTTACAGAGGTTAGTCTTGGAAGTCCTTAACTTAAACCTACATGCAAAGGAGGAGGAGATTCTGCAGAGGTTCGTCTGGATCTCATTCAACACTTTCATTATCAAGAAAGGAGCTTATAGATGGAAATTTGAAAAATCTTCTTGGTGGGTCTTCCTATGCGGTTCATTCTTCTGATACGGCAGCTGATCCTTTCCTGTCTTCGTTGATTTACACGTTTCCTATGGTTGATTCTTCAAGAGACACACAACCTATGTCTCTGGAGGAAGAAAGCCTAGTTAACAAGAGTTCAGATGTGAAAGCAATAGAAAGGTATGAAAACTGGATGATCTTTATTTAATACCTTTATCACTGAATTTTAGTTAGAGTTAGAATGCTTGAGATTAGCTGCTTGTACAGAGTTCAAACTCAGAAAGGCCCCTATGGTTTGCGCCGTAAATCTATTAAGCCCCCAGACTATTATTTGGATCTATTAAGCCCCTATGCTTTTTATTTTGAATTTATTTAGCCCCTATGGTGTTTCTCCATAACTAAAAAGTAGATTCAATAAGACAAAAATACCCTTTTTTAGTTATGAAGAAACACCATAGGGGCTAAATAGATTCAAAATAAAAAGCATAGGGGCTTAATAGATCCAAATAATAGTCTAAGGGCTTAATAGATTTACAGCGCAAACCACAGGGGCCTTTCTGAGTTTGAACTCGCTTGTACATAATGCTTTAACCTTTTAGGTTAACTATGAAGGGTGTGTGGAAATATTCCTTATCTTTTGCTAAACAGATGGAATCAGGAGTTTGTTGTGTATTACACTCAGATCCTGATAAAATTTCGGGAAAATTTTACTTTTATACCAAATTGTGGCCCAATTTACTTTTTTACCCATTAGTTCTGTTAATTATATTATACTGAAGATACAGCAAAAAATTCAGGATTGTGTCCATGTAGCGTATACCGTATATATAGCCTAGATTGGGGTTGGCAGTGGAGGAGGGAGGGTGGAGCAGAGGTAGAGGGAAAAGTATAACACTCATTTCAAGCTATAACAATTTATTGTAAATTATAACACTATAATTTAAACTATAACACCTTACAAAAACTGCAAAACCTTGGAGTCAAATTTGGAGGAGGAAGAGGAAGGAGGTGGAATATTAATTTGAAAGGAAAAACAATGTATGCCGTGCACCATGTGTTATGGATTTGAACGTGGAGCTTGTTGCTTTTAAAGGTATTTTATTGTCCAACCTGGTGAGATTAGTCTAGGTGCTTTATTGTTTCTAGACAAGAAGGCAATGGATCTGAATCTGAAACATAAGAATGTCATGAAGCATCACAGATGGAATGTGATGGAGGCATGGAGCACCACAAAAAGTGTTGATTTGTTGCTCTACTGAAGGCCCTTCTTTTCTATCTAAAATTTAATTTTATCTTGCCCTAATAGCAAAAGCAAGTATGACATCAAAGGCCCTTCCTCTCTAAATTGAGTTTTCTTTTTGTCTTAGCCAATTATCAAAAGCACATTTATTTGAATGTTTATATAGGATATAAAAGGCCAAGGTAGAATTATGGTCAGCCCAATAAATATGCATTTTCAGAACTATAATTATCTGAAGTAAATTTTATTACTACATATGGAAATGAAAATTAGTCGAGACAAAAGGAATTATAGAAACAAGTAAGGGCTATTTGTATATTTACCCCCCAAATAAAAAACTGAAAGTTGGTAGATTTTTCATGATTGCTTTAACGTCTCGTAACTTTTGAACCTTATAAACTGTTTAAGATGATTACAGTTCTATTAGCCAAGCGGTTTCATATTTTTTTTCTGTTTTTTGAGTTAACTGTTGGCTTGAAAATATCATAAACATTCTTTTTCATAGTGTACTGGTATTTTTATATCCTATCACTAGTTCTATATTCCCAAAAACCAAATAGGCCCTTCTGGATACAAGTGATAGGAACATACTGTTAAAGTCATGGTCGGGAAATTATTTTATTCTTATTTTTTGACTTAATGCATTGGAAATTAAGAATGTTGGTGTATCCCACCCATTCCCTAGCGAGGGGAGAAAATCCTCTAAATCCCGCAAATGTGAAAGGCAACTTGTGACCTTCCAATCAATAAGGCATTATAGCAAATTATGCAAGATCGTCTGAATGGTCGAAGCTGATTGATTGACAATGCCTTTTGGGTAAATGTGCAAATTTCTTAAGAAGTCAATGCAGACATTATTTATTGTCCGGTATGCCTGCATCATCAAAGAGTACCAGCAATTGAGCATTAATAGTGCTCATAAAGAGAAATTACAAAGGGAAAAGTGAGCTAGTTTAATAGTATTAGTGTTTCATGACATTGCTCTCAAACTGTATAGGGTTTCATTATTCATACTATACCTTACTTTCATATGAAGCCCCTAAAACTATCTTGTTAATCTATTAAGCTCCCAAACCTTTTCCTTCTATTATGTTTGGCCCTCATGGTGAATTTTAGCCCACAACACCATCCAAATACTATTCTAACAAGGGTAAAATTGGAATATTTCAAAAATGATCTGCATGACAAACACGTGTCACTAAAGTCTTTTACAGTGTGTTTGAATAGAGGGTTAAAAATTGCTAATTTAATTGTCTGTTACCCAGTCTTATCAAAGGTGTGCCTCACTGCGCCTAATGCGCCCTGCGATATGGGGTGGTGGCAAAGCACCTCACATTTGATGCAGCAACGGCTTTGGCGCCTCGCAAACACCCTGACTTCGTGCAAGGTGCATGCAGTACATAGACTCGTATTTTGTTCGTTAACATTTCAATCGGGTCTTTATACTTGATAACCCATATCCCAAAAAGTAAAATAAACCCGTTAGGCCTTTTTAGTATCCTTCGATTGAGGACCCTAACTAATCCTGCTTTATTATTTGCTTTTGCTTTGGATATTAGTCTTGATTTGACATTTGTATTAAAAAGTTATGAACTTCACTACTATGTTGGATGTGTTGGCATTAGGAATTAAGATCTTATATTGTGATTTGGTTGTAAGATATTATTTACCGTGACATATTTTATATGAATTCATAAACAGGATCCGGGTTTTATGGGAAGTGGTGTCTTCATATAATTAATAATTAAAAAATTCACAAGTGCCCGTGACGAGTTTCCATATTCTGAAAAAGTACACAATCACATCATTAGTAATGCTAATTGATATACAGTCATTTAGTCAACCATCTCTTTAACTAATTACACTACCAATCATCGCATCATCAGTTGCACTATCAATCATCACTTGTGATGCAATACGATTTGAAGGTCAAATAAAAATATAGTTGAATAGTCTTGATCTAGTTAAACAGGCTACTTAGGATTCCAAACCATGTATATTATTGTTGTGATTTTTTACTATATGTAGAGTTTGAAGAAAACCTAGGAAACAAGCTAAGAAAAGTTAGCATGAGATTAGCTATTCTGATGGGCATGTAATTTATCAAAGGCATGGATGCATGAGTTCATTTTCGGTTTCTATAAGTGAATTCAGTCGTTTCTTTTTTTTTTTATGTTCTGTTTTCTTAGACTAAATCTTAGTCATTCATCTTGGATAAATCTTGACATTTCAAATAGAAATTCTATTCCTATCTTCAAAGCAGTAGCTATTTGGTTTCTTTTGATCTTCATATACTGAATGACGTCATAGTCATTATCACAGAGAATCTCATCTATTCACTTTCTCCATAAAATCCAGATCACAAGAAACAAGCACAAAAGACAAAAATGAATCTAAATTCTCCCCATTCCAGAACCTGCAAAAAGGATCGCCACAGTTCCTTCATCTTCCCTCACCTAAGAACTTAATTCATTCTGTAAAACTGTCATCCGATTCACCCTGGTTCCTTATCACTACCTCGGAGGAAAGTTTTGTCGCGTAACACCACTTCCTCCAAGGGATATCCGCCCCCGAACATGATCTTTCGTGCTTGATTATCTATCTTGAAAAATTATGTGCGCGGTTTGCATTTCGCTTCACTCGGACGTGTGTATCGCGTTGCGCCTCGCTCATGTGCGTGTTGTGCCTTGCGCGTGTGCGTGTAAAGGGACTTTGGGCCGCAAATCGCCCATTGCACATTTATAACACTGCTAAAGCCCACAATTTTTGTCAATGTTCTTTTCAATCAAATGACATAATTATGCGTACTTTAAAATTCATGATTTTCTTGAGCTACCTAAGATTTTCACAATTTGCGATTTTCGTAGGCTATAATCAATGATTTTTGTCAATTTTTGTTTGTTTCTACCCAATCACAACTAAGTTCTGTGTCTTGGAAAATAATGATTTCATGGGTTATATAACACAGATTTTATCAATTTTCATTCTTCGATCTAATGGAAGATAAATGTGTACTTCAAAATTATTGATTTCATGGGCTATGGTCCGTCATTTTTGTCCATTTTGTTTGTTTCGGTCATTTAGAAAGTAATTGTGCGTACTTCAATATTTACGGTTTTCATGAGCTATAATCAATGATTTGTGTGTATTATCTTTCATTTTATCAAATGTTAATTAATTATGACTATAAAATTTGCGATTTTTGGTGGGTTATAACACACAATTTTTGCAATTTTGGTTCGTTTCATCCCTATGCCAAGTAATTATACATATTTCAAAATTCATGATTTTCATGTGATAACACCTACGATTTTAGTCTATTTTCTTTAGTTTTGACCTAGTGGCAGTTAAATTTTATTTTTCACAGAAAATCACGACTTTTAAGGGATCTAAACCATGATTTTTTGTCAAATTTTATTCTTCGACCTAATGAAAAATAAATATGCATACTTCAAAATTTGTGATATTTAAGCGATATAGTTCGTGATTTTTTTCCATGCTTTCATTTTGACCATTTAGCAATTAATAGTATGAACTTCATGATTTTTATAGGCTCATGAGACTTTGTGCTATGGTGTAATGAGATTTTATTTACCATTGTGTTTGTACTCCACAGCCTTGACCTTATGGTGTGCTGTCAATCGCCCTGATAATTGGAAACATTTGATCCTCATCATGGTTCTTTTGTCAAATTTGAAACATGCTACTTTCTGAGCACTATGCCCTACTTTTCTTTGTTCTTGGCCATAGAATCATGATAACTTGAGCAATATAATGACGCCTTCGTCAAATTTGAAACATGCTCTTCAGCGAAAATACTAATACACTGTTGTTGACGACTACTGTTGTGTATTGCAGTGTAGAACCATCTCTATCTGGCAAGGAGCAGAAGGAGAGAGCCTGCAGGAGTGAGCTTGTGCGGTGGCTCTTGCTCTCCACAGTATTTGACGATAACAGTTAATGATGAACAATACCTGAAACAAGGCCACAAGGCACTGCTCGGGTACTGTTGTACCATAAGCTGCTTCATAGAGCCCCAAGTATACAAATTTGGGGTTTTAATTGGAGTTGTATGTATACATGTTTTTATCGGAAAAGAGGAAATTTATGTTAATCATCATGGACTATTGCAGGACATTTTTGTTAATAATATTTCTTGATATAGATTGCATTTTTTTTTTTGTATTAGGGTTATTATCTAGTGCTTGGCTAATTGCCACGACGCGAACTTTTGAGCTTCGGAATGTGGTAGTATTTGTGTGAAAGTGTTGCACGTCGACTTGTGTCGGTCATAAGGTTTTTGTTTCTAGCTTTGTGTCACCAACTCGACGAAAAATCACGCATGGGAGATGCATTCAGAATCTGATGCAGTTTTGTACATGAAGATTATACTGTGTCATAATAATACATATTTTGAGCTGCTTTGTTGTCAAAAATCGAGACGAAGGCTACTGCTTTCGACTTGTCTGAATCCTCTTTACTGTTGGAAAGCAATGCAAAGGCTGCTACTGCTTCTGATCATAATCACAGTGGCAATAGGTGCGGTCATATGTGCAGTGGTACGAGCTTGAAGGAGTACTGGGTACCCATCGTTTTTATATGGATAATTGTTCAAATTTATTTTTTAAAATTTAATTTCTGCCATAACGCAATCTCGTGAACCCTATTTAGGCTTGTTTTCCAATCGGGATAATTTTTTTTTTTGTTTTTGAGGGTAAACAATCAAAGCTAAGTTGCTAATATACACTTGCCCGTTAAATTAAGGACTCATTTTCTCTGCGTCTTCTCTCTTACCTCGGGTGTTTAGTAATTGTGTTGAACAAAACCTTTATGTAAGGGTGTGTTTGTCAAATTCCTAAAATTGAGCAAGGTTTGAATCTGTCCAAGTTTTGGATTTGCTTTGGATTGGCAAAATGTGGTCTAGTTCTGGTCCAATTCTTCCTAGGCCGAAAAAAGATCCTAAAACTAGTTTAGTTTGGATCCGGAGGTGGTGGTCTAACACTGAACTAGTTTAGAGTAGAGCCGCGCTAAAGTTGAACCTGGCCCAGTTTTTGGGTGATTGCTAAACACACCCTAAATGCTTTCTTTAGCAAACTTTAATTTTATCATTGGACTTGCTCCTTAATTGCAAAATCGCTCTTGAGAAATTTTACGCTTGGCAAAAAAGGCTCTTAAAAGCCTTTTCCATCACACCAAAATTTCAAAATTTTGATATATTTACATGGTTTCGTTTTTAAGGTGGTATCAGAGCAACCACTGTCTGAATGTAGGAGGCTCAACATGCGGGAGAAATTAGAGTATAAAATTGCCTCTCTCTCTAACTATCAAAACGCACATGCTAACTAGATACAAGCTGCATACTAATATCGCATTGAGCAAGTTCTCTACATAAAAGTATATTGATTGTGACACGAGGTAGCGGATAATAATAAACAATTTGTAGTTTAGTTCATTTAGTATCTAATAAAAGTTGTAGGTGATGAGGAAGATAACGGTTTGAAAGACCGTTATCTTTCCATTAGTCAATTTCTAAGCCGACACAAAAAAACATTATTAAATGCTGCAAACTCCCGTTAAAAAATACTATAAACAGTATAAAAACCGGAATCCTAAGTCTAACGGTTCCGATAACGGTCACGCTCGTTCGCTAATCGCTATCAACAAAAAGGACCCGACAACAAAAACATATTCCTCTTTTTGTGACCCAAAAAATAAAAAAAGCAAATAAATCCACTCCCAAAAGCAGAGCTAGTGACAGCGGAGTTTTTTTTTTTAAAAAAAAGAAAGAAAGAAAAAAGTACGGAATAAAAGGCCCCTTTTCCTCCAAATTCCCACCAAAAGGGTAAAAAAAAAAAAAGAATTTTTTGGAATTAGGGAAGTAGGGTTTGTGATGACCCGCCGGCCTTGAATGGGCTGCTCGTCGTCTGTCCTTTTTTTACCCTCTTTCCCTCCTTTTTCCTCATCATTTCTCTGCAACTTCGCTTATCACTGTACCCTCAGACTTTTCCCCCATTTGATTTTAATCCCCCTTTCCTCTTTTCAAATATTATCATTCCTTTTTTTTAAAAAAATTTTGATTCACTTACTACTAATTGCACTGTGCACTTTGAGAAGGTTTTTCACGGCCCAAAGTCTTGCTCTGATTTATTTTTATGCCCATTCACTTGGTTATTCCTTGACCAGAAATAATGTACTGAATTTTCCAAAAAATCCACTTTCTGTGTTCGCATACCATATTTTTAGGACTTGGCCAAAAATATGACAACTTGTTACGTTAAAGAGCGTCATATTTTAACCGCGACCACCCAAATCGAGAATTCTGTCACTACACGAGAATTCTGAAGTTATAGTCAAGACCGAGTTTATAGTTTCCACAAGTTCATTTTTTTCCTCTCCCAATTGTATTATTATTTCAGTTGGTTTACATTATTTTTCCATTGATCTCTTGGTCCTTGTCTTTCTTTTACTGATACTCTCATTCTTTTTGGGTTAAAAAAAAAAGCTCACCGTCTTAACTAAATGAGTGAAGTGTTTGTTTCACCCTTTTTATGGAATAAGAATAGGAATTGAATCCGACAGGGGTAAAATCGTAAATAAATGATTCTTTATGAATCCTACTCCTGAGTTTGGTTCACAACAAATTTATAGATTTTCGAAATCTATAAAGTTGAAAAAGTATGGTGATTTTATAGAAACCAAATCCTAATGATTTGGGAGGATTTTGGGCAAAAAGCTGACACACCTGTACTATTCTCCCTCTTTTTTTTTTCCGGATTCCGTTTCTTCACAAACCCTATATTATTATGAGACCGAATCCTATTCTCATTCCAAACCAAACTAAAGAATAGGAATTTAAGAGTTTCTATAAAATTGGATTCCATTTTTTCATGTTATGAAACGAACATAGAAAGGAAAAAAAAAGTATTCCATGAATCCATAAACCCGTCTTAAATTTTTTTTATGGATTTGATAGGAATCCATAAAAAAAAAGCAGATTCTTAATCCTATTCTTGTCCACTGTTGAACAAAACACCCCTATAGTGAAAGTGTGTTTAAAAATATTTCATTGTATTTTGTACCTTAGAATGATTTTTCAAAATGGCTGGCCTTGATAATAATCACGGCACAACTTTGGGTCTGCAAATAAAAAAAAAACACCCTTTTAAGTATCGCTGCCCTCCGAATGGCTCCTTTGTTCTGATTCGTTCTCTAACCGTGAACCATGTCTGTCTTTACTCGGGATGATTCCTCACGTGTTCCTCACGCTCCTATGAAGCTTCTGTCCTGCTTCCCGCTCTTTTTGTCCCCCATTAATATAAGTGGTGAACTGGGGGAGCTGAGTTTGATTAGGGTTAGGGTTTTTTTTTTTTGAAAGTTAGATTTTGTTGCTTATTATTATAGTTATGAAAAGGGTTTTTGAGGGTGAGGAGGTTGATGGATCTTTAGCTCCCCAGTTGAAGAAGCAGAGGCCTATGCTTGGGTGAGCTTTATTGTTTGACGCCATGGATTCTTTTTGTTTTTTTTTATTATTTACCCAAAGTACTATCCTGATTTATTTTAAACCCACCCACTTCCAAAATCATTGTTTAAATGGCGTTTTGAATTATTTTTAAACCCACCGTCAGGACCTCATTTTGCTATGCAAGAAATTGATGAATAGAAATTGGTTTTGAAAGTAATTCAGAATGTATATTGTGGGTTAAGAATGATTTTAGATTGAGCGAGTTAAAAAAAAAACACTTTTTTTTTGCTTCTTCTTCTTCTTCTTTCTACTTAGTTTTAAGTAGGTTGTTTTGTTTGCAGGGCAATGAGAGGAGTAATGGGAGTGCAGTGCATGCAGAAGCATTTGCCAAAGCTCGAACCTTTTCTCCGTAGAGTGGTAAAGATCAAATCTTTTCTATTTTTCTGTTTTCTCAAGTGTCAAACTCAAATTTTTACATACAAAAACATTTAGCTGATTATTTTGTATTATAGTAGTGGGGTTGAATTCTAACGTAGCTCATCTCCAAAATGTTACTTTCGTGTGGTTTTATTTGGTTTGTATCCTAATGTAGGCTCATTTTCAAAGGAATCAAAACTTTGATGCTTCGATTTATGTCATTCATGATAAGAAAGCACTAGGAATGAACTAGAGAAAATTCCTCTGCTTTAAAACAAAATTTTCCATGTTGAAGTATGTGATTCCTCAGGCCTGGAAATCTTACCCAAAATTTAATTTTCTTGAACACATGGATGGATATTGAAGTTAAAATTTGAAAACTTTCAATTTTTCCTACACAGTTCCTGAGACAATATTAAATTTTTTTATCAGGTGCAGGAAGAAGTAGGAAAAGCACTTTGCCGCTTTGTGCACTCATCTTCTCCCAGGTAAAATTTGTTCCACATTCCTTATTTGTCAATACCAGGAAATATATTTGATATATCTGGAGAATCATAAAGTTTTATCTTATTGAATTGTTCGTTTTCGTTTTTCCTACCACCTTAAAAACCTTTGTTTTCCCCGGATTGTGTCAAAACACTTTGTTTCCTTAGATGATCACTTCATTTTCTGGCACTCTGTATTTTGAAGTCAGTGTATACTTTTCAAGAACATTTGACTGATTGCTCTTTATAAACATTTGACACTGCATGACCCCTCCGTACCCATAAGTATGGAGAAAGAGAAAATTGTTTTTTTGACAACAGACCCGTCAGAAATTTCGCTGGGGGGCCTATCTGCAACAATAGAACAACCAGATGTATATCTGCAATTGCGCAATAGTATAGGGGGTCTATTACAATTGACCCAAGCATATATGTTACACGCTTAGAAACTTGATGAAACAATCCATTCGTGTAACTTTCTGTAACTAAGACCATCAAACCATTGACAAGTATTGTTGTGTTTTTGTTATAGATTGCCAATTAACCGAATCCAAACAAGTACGAGCAAAAGATATCGGCTACATTTCCAGAATACCTTGCCTCAAACTCTTTTCACAGGCAGCAGAATCGAAGCTGAGGGCAGAGAACCTGTTCAAATTGTCATAATGGACACTGAACTAAGCCAGAATATCAGTTCAGGCCCTCTGTCGTCAGCCAAAATCGAGATTCTTGTTCTTGATGGTGATTTCGGTAGTGATGACCAAAAGGAATGGACGGAAAAGGAGTTCAGTGACGTTATAGTGCGTGAAAGAGAAGGCAAAAGGCCGTTGTTAACGGGGGAACTGGTTATCACAATGAATAATGGGGCTGGTTTACTTGGAGATGTCGCTTTTACCGACAATTCAAGTTGGATAAGGAGTCGTAAGTTCAGGCTGGGTGCAAGGATTATTCAAAGCCGATGCTCTGAAGCAAGCGTCCAAGAAGCGATAAGTGGAGCATTTGTGGTTAAAGATCACCGAGGAGAATGTAAGTTCGTGTTTTGCGTGGATCTTGACCACAAAAATAACTCTAAACTGCACACATTTGATGTTTATTTTTCATGCGGAACTCAGTGTACAGGAAGCATCACCCTCCATCACTGGATGATGAAGTATGGCGCCTGGAAAAAATTGGCAAAGACGGCGCTTTTCACAAGAGGCTTGCGGATAACGGGATCAACACTGTACAGGACTTCTTGAAGAGCTTCGTCATGGATCAAGATAAACTCCGAAGTGTAAGAAAATAACATGTAGATTTTGGATATATCATACTTTGAAATCATTTGAATAATCTCAGTTTATCTTTCCTGCCTCCAGATTCTTGGCACTGGGATGTCGAACAAGATATGGGAAGCGACAATTGAACATGCAAAGGAGTGTGTTCTAGATGACAAGAATTATTTGTATTGCAGTGGATATGGAGTTACTCTTTTGTTCAACTCCATATTTCAGCTTGCGGGCGCAATGATTGACCGTTGTTTGTATACTTTAGATGATCTCACTTCATCACAGAAGGTACTTTATCCTGGAATTATCCATGTCAATGTATCATTAGAACACTTCTCGTGTTACAAAATTCTGTAATTTTTTCATCATCCGGGTAAGGAGTGGTAAGACATTCAACTTGATAGCTGACACATTGCATATAATTTTTTTTTATGTAAATAGAAAATTGAGGCATCTGTTGATGAATCCTTTTATTTGGTTTGCAGATTCAAGTCGAGAAATTGAAACAGATTGCTTATGAAAATCCTGAGCAAATAATCGAGTTGAGTCCTGTGACTGAGCCTCTTCCGCGGTGCCTGCCAACATCAAATGCTATTTCTGTACTACCACAATCAAGTTTCTCAGAAGCACAGAATTACCTTTCTGCCTCAAACCAAGGTGATTGGCTCTAAATTATACATCCGAAAATGTAACCCCTCTGAACTTCATGGGGTTTTGTACAACAATCTCCCAATTTTATAAATCATAGAAAATCCCCTAACCTGTAGTCTTGTACCATGACTGAATTCATTTAAGTTGTCATGTGTTCTGCAGGTGACAACTTTTGCATAATTAGATTACCTTATCTACTAAATATAACTTCTAGATTACTCTTTTTATGGTAAATATAGATAAAAAGTAGAAGATAGTAGTTTAGACTTTTTACTCCACCTCTTAACACTGTTTAAGAGAATTTTCAATAGTTCAGGAGAGTTTAGTGTAATCTTGAAAGCTTATGGGGGTTTACTATGCTTTATAAAATTTACCCTTATATATTCTCGATCATCAATTTGTCATCACAGTTGTTTTAAAAAAAATTGACATCATATCTTGTTGCAGATGAATTGGCTGCTCAAGTGGGTGTCGTTCGCCAACCTCCTACATCGTACAATGAACTTAAGGACTATTTGACAGGGCAGGGTTTCCTTCAAGAGCACAGTTTAAGTTCCTTACAAGGCAATAATTTCAACATGAAGGACTTTCTCGATATGCAGTTTGGTGATATTCCAACTAGGGACATTTTGATGCCTGGAAACATAGGAGATAATGTGGAGCTCGATGCACCAAACTCGTTATCTCAGCTTCCTAGGTGGGATAATATAAACGAGTTCATTCACACATCGGGTGATGATTCTAATGTTGATTTAGTTCCTCATCCCACCGATATTTCTGGTTCACACGTCTCATCGAGCAAGTGGGCTAAGATGGTGGCAGCACTGAAATTGATGGCGGTATCGAAGCATTTGGCCTCAAGAAGGGATAGAGAGGTAGAGTTTGGCTACCCTGAAATAGAATCAAGCATGAGTAACATGGCTCAGAGATGAGTTGGTAGAGGAAAATGTTTTAGAGATTAGTTTGATGTAGTGTTATTTAGATTTAATGTGCAAGGTGTTTTTAACTTGTAAGCTACCAAAGCAGAGGTTTTGAAGAGGTGTAGGAAGCCCCCTCAGAAGTTTTGGTTATGTTTGTGCATCTTGTATATATTGATCAAATAAGTTTTTGGGTTAATTGCTGATAGACCTCCTGTACTATTGCCAAATTACAGATAGACCCTTTATACTTCTATTGTTGCATGTA